ACAATTTTTTAATATAGTTTTTTTAAATTTTTATATTCCCCATACAATTGCGACCCCCTTATTTTGACCCCAAACCCTCCCCTCCCTGCCCTCCACCCCCCATAGAGTGTCTCTGGTTCATAGTTTTTTGTTGATTTTGATTTTCACTTTCTTATAGTTATTCATTTTCCTGGTCCCTTATTTAAGTTTTCTAGATTCCTGCTATGAGTGAGACCATCCGGTATTTTTCTTTTTCTTTCTGGCTTATTTCGCTGAGCATGATCCCTTCCAGTGCCATCCATGTTGCTGCAAATTGCATGTGTTTATCTTTTTTGAATGCTGAGTAATATTCCATGGTGTATATGTACCACATCTTCTTGATCCAGTCATCTATTTTTGGGCATTTGGGTTGTTTCCAAAGCTTAGCTATTGTAAACAGTGCTGCTATAAACATAGGGGTGCAACCAACAACAATTTTAAGACACTTTTATCATCCCCAAAAGAAGTCCCACAGGCCTTAGCAGTCAGCTCTCAACTTTCCCCTCCCCTTAGACTGTGGCAACCGCTAATGTACTTCTGGCTCTATATTTGCCTATTTGAACATTTCCCATAAATGGATCAGATAGTATGTGGTCTTTGGTGTCTGGTTTCTCTCTCTTAGCATTGTGTCTTCAGGGTTCATCCATGTTGTGGTGTCAGCAGTTTGCGCCTTTACATGGCCAACTATCACACTGTAGGGATGGATCACATTTATTTATCATTCATCAGCTCATAGACATTTGGGTTGTTGCTATTCTTTAGCTCTTGTGGACATTCAAGTACAGGCTTTTGTGTCCTTGGGTATTTTCCTTTCTCTCGGGTATGTGACCTAGGAGTGGAGTTGTGGCATCATGTGGAAATTCTCTGTGTAAGTGCTGGAGAAAGTTCTAGAGAGGCTGTCCTGTCTCTTATTCCCACCTGCAGCATGAGGTCCCTTGTCTGCAGCATGAGGACACCTGGTGTCCCTTTGGCCTGGTGTCTGTGACGGGGCCCCTTCTTGTGGGTTGGGTGTGCATTTCCCCAAAGACCTGTGATGCTGAGCATCTTTCATGTGCAAGGGCAGTGAATCTTTAGAGAAACTTCTATGCAGATCCCTTGCCCATTTTTAAGTTGTGTTATTTATCTTTTAATAATTCGGTGAATATACATTCTAGATACACATACTTTATCAGATATGTGATTTGCAAATGTTTTCTTGCATTCTTTGGGTTTTCCTTTCACTTTGATTATGTCCTTTGATACACAATTTTCATTTTAATGAAATTCAGTTTATATTTTTTTTTGTTCTGTTTTTTGCCTTTCAGTGTTCTATCTATTGCCTAATCCAAGGTGATGAAAATTTACCCCAATGTTTTCTTGTAAGTCTTCTATCTTGTAAGTCTTCTAGTTTAGTGCTTATATTTAGGTCTTGATGGTTAATTTTTGTATCTGATGTAAGAAGCGGGCCACCTTTATTCTTTTACATGTAGACATCATTTTCTCAGAACCAATTGTTGAAAACTGTTCTTTTCCCATTGACTTGTGTTGGCAGCCTTGTCGAAAATCAGTTGACTGTAAATATGAGTTAATTTCTGGACTTTTTCTTTCATTCCGTTGCCTTGATGTGTGTCTTGTTTTGATCACGGTGGCTGTGTGCTGTTTTGAAATAGGGAAGTATCCGTCATGTGCAACCTGTTTTCAAGGTTATTTTTGTTTTGGCTCTTAAAATGCAGTTCCATCTACATTTTAGGGTCAGCTTATTAGTTTCTGCAAAGGTGGCTGCCTGGCTCTGGGTGGGTCATGTAGAGTATATAGAAGAGCAAATCCGAGTAGAATCTAAGTACTGTACCTGAGCAGTGTCAGCTCTTCCCACCCACGAGCTTGTCATGTTTTCCATTTATTTAGGTCTTTCAGTTCCTTCAACATTTTTTGTAGTTTTCAGAGTTTAAGTTTTGCACATCTTCTGAGAAATCTATTCGTAAATAGTTGACTCTGCTTGATGCTCTTGTGAACGGAATTGTGGTCTTAATTTCATTTTCAGTTGCTCACTGCTACTGTACTGAAATGCAGTGGGTATTGTGTGCTGATCTTGTACCCTGAAACCCTGCTAGACTCATGTTTTAGTTCCTATTGACTTAGAGCAGATTCATGAGAAATTTCTAATGTGAGATCATGTTATCTAATAGAGAGGCTTTATTTTTCCCTTTCCCAGGGGGATGCCTTTTATTAATTCCTTGCCTAATTGCTCTGCCCCCTGGCTTTGAATCATTTTTCTTTTCTAACTTGCCCATTCTTTCTGTTGTGATTTTATTGTCTCTGTTGGTACCGAACACCCTCTGTGACGTGTGTTGCCGATAATCCAACCCATCCTTGTTCTGGTAAATTAGGACTCAGCCACACACCCAGCACCACTGCCCTATTGTGAGTGTTTGGCTGGTCAGCACCCCCTCTGAGCTAGGTTTCCTCATGTTAAAGGTGATTTCCTCTGGATGTCCTCTGGATGCTCTTGATTGCTACATGCAATGAGGAATGCAGACACTTCTTGACTAGAATGTTCTGTCAGACCTGCATTGCTGTTGTCAGCGTTGATCCTGACTTTGGACACCTGGGAACAGGAGATCTGAGTCCTCCCAACACAAGGAAGTCTTCGTGGCAGCCCTGGCCCCAGCTGGGTTCACCCATCACCTTCCTTGGGTGTGTCATCAAACCTCACTGTGCCTCAGTTTCCCCACCTGTGAAGCAGAGGGGGACTGCCCTTCTATAGAGCTGCAATACAGTGAAGCACCCATTAGACACCTAATGTTTTATATCGATTTCTACTCTACCCAACCTCCTTCCCAAGCCATAAGGGCCCCATCTGGGTAGCCTGGCCTGCTTTGCAGCCATCCAAATTGACCCTCCTAAGGCCACCCCAAGATCACACTCTTCCTTGCATTCAGCCTAGTGGGACACCCAGGTTCTTAGTGAGGCCAAGCTGGGGGATGGACTAAATGCAGCTTATGCAGCACAACCAAACATTGTCCCCTAATGTTGCTGGCCATAATGAGGGACTCAGGCAGCTTCCCTGGCAGCAGGGTGTGAGGTGGGGACTGAAGTCTGGGTCCCTGTTAACATCCTTCCTCTGAGTGTGGCAGAGCTGGCCTGGCCAGGATAAAGGTGCTGATTTGCTGAGCTTTGTTTCCCCTCTGGACAGGGTGGTTGTGTGCACATATGTGAAGTGCCAGTGCAAATGTGGTACAAGTGTGTGAGCATGCATGTGCACCATCCCAATAACAGCACCTGGACTGGGCAGACCTGGACATGCTCTGTCCCCACAGACTGCGTGAGATGGGGTAGGGGAGGGTTGTCCCACAGATGGAGTCTATCTGGGCTGCTTCCAGGTGGACATGGATTTTGAGAGACACTCTAGCGAGCACAGATGTCCTGGGGATATGTGTTGAAAGCAGAGCCCACAAGGTTTCCTGTAGATTGGGAAGAGTCCAGGCCAGTTCCAAGTTCTGTGTGAATGGCTGGGGACTAACATCAGAGTTAAGCTGGAGCAGCTTTATGTCAAATAGGTTGGGGAATATAAGAGTCTGCTGGGACGGCTGGGTCAACTGGGCAGCAGGACACCTATGCCTGGTGCCCAGGGGAAAACCATGACAGAGGACAGGTTGCCCTCATCCACTGTGGAGTGACGGGTCCTCAGTAGCCTGCTGTCCCCATATCACTCTCACCAGGTGCCTTTGTTTGTGAGGGGATCAGCACTGGCATGAGGTCCCCACAGTGTTACTGCAGGCACAGGCCACAAAACCAGTTTTCTCTGTTCTCTAGGACTAGCTGCTCTGTCCATTATCAGTGCTCAGAATTAGAATGTTCCAGAGAAGCAGAAAGAAGAGCTTCTTGTACTCAGACTTCAGAACATCTATAGCAGCCACATTGCTATTATTCAACAGCTGGTAGAACCTGCATGCCCATCAGAGGTCACAGGGATGCCAGCAGAGCCATTTGCTGGCAACAGGACTATTCCACTGTGAACATGAACACTTCTGACAGCACATTGCCTCTTGATGCCTCTTGCTAAGCGAGGGCTGCCAGACAAAGGGCACATGACAAGTGCATACTTGTATGTGTGTGCGCTTGTCTGTGCACACATGTGCATGTATGTGTCAGGGTGTACTCTGATTCACTGCACAGTCCCTGTGCTGGAGATATGGATGGCTTCTACCTTCTTACTACACTGGAGGGTTCTGAGGCAAACATCCTGGTAAAGGAATTCTGGCAGCTCTTCATAATTATTTCCTATGGCTAGTTTCTTAGGCACACATACAATATAAAGCTCTTAATATACTTTACCAAAGTCCCCACCAGCAAAGTCCAAGAGAAGCCACTCCCAGAGCCTTGGTGACTTCCTCCATGGTCTTTTTTATTTTACTTTTTTCCAAGCTGAGGAATAAAAGATCAGCTCTCGTTTTTCATGGTTGTGTACATCCCTTTGTGAATTGCTTGTTCACACATTGGTCCAATTGCCTTATTTTTCAGCTTTTATTGATGTGTAAAATCTTCATAAATTAAGGGTTTGAACTTTTGCCCTGTGTTCTCCAAATATCTTTCCCTAATGCTTTTCATCTAAGTTTGTTTTTCAGTTATTCATGTGTAACAAATTTTTGCTTTCATGCCATCAAGTCTATAGATCTCTCTCTCCCTTCTTTTTTTTCCTTGATTTGGCCTTTGGAACTATGCCTGGATAATTACTATGTGTTTGCTTTTATGTCTTCTGATGTGTTTTCAATTTCAACACCATGGTCTTTAGAAGACCTATACTTCACTCAAAGTAGGGATCAGCTCTGCCTTTGTCCCCAGGCCTCTGGTTACATAGATGCCATTCCCATGGTCTGGGTGGCCCTGGGACCTCTGGAGTATCGTGTGGCTGTTGGGGCAGCAGTGCCCCATTCCCATTCCAGGAGGGAAGTCCTGTCTCTAGGGAAGGGTTCTCATGTCACCTCTCTGCTCTCCCTTCCTAGGAACATGTGCTCAAGTGCAGCCACCCCCGCGGGGCACCATCCAAGTCCTTCGTGGAAATGGCACTTCTGTGGGGACTGTCATCATGTTCCACTGCCCCTCAGGGCACCAGATGTTGGGGTCCGGCCTTCTCACCTGTACTTGGAAGGGGAATATCGCCGAGTGGTCTTCAGTGGCCCCTGTGTGCAAGTGTGAGGCCCACTCCCCTTCAGTTGTCTTTGGGAGGGAACCTGATCCCTTCTGTGGATGATGTGGGTGTCCACAGACAAGGTGTGGTGGGTGTGAGTCACAGCTGGGCCTGCATATAGGGTCCTGATGCTGGTGCTTGTGGGATAGTGACTGGTGGCCCCTTGGAATCCATGTCCACAGTGTGTCTTAGTCCCAGATCCTAGCTCTGCCAAGGACTTAGCCTGTCACCTCCAAGAAGCTGCTTGTGCTGTATGAGTCAGAGCTGTCTCTTCAGTGGGAAGCTGTATCCATACTTTCATTCTTCCATGCATTCATGCAATAGATCTTGATCCGTGTGCCAAAATTCTAGGATTAAGGGACACCAAAGGTCAGAGTGTGCCCAGTGGGGTCTCCCAGTCTGTGGGAGAAGATGGTTGTCTAGTTTTCTTTTTTAAAATATTTATTTATTTATTTATACAAGCCCTGGGTACAGTCAGAAGCATGGGAGGGTGAGAGAATTCACCAGAGCCAGAGCGGGGAACAGAACAGGCAGAGTGATGAAATACACTGGGTAAGGGGCAGGGCAAAGGCATGTCCCCGCATCCCCAGGAGGCTGCTAGAAGTTGCCCCACAGAATATGTAGTCTTCATTCTGGTTGACCAGAATGGGTTAGGAGTCCTGGGGACAGGGGACACCAGTGTCCACTATAGGGGAATGTATGTGGCAGTGCTCAAGTTAAGATCTATGACCTTTTTGTCCTTTGAAACCTGATAGTAATGGCAGGTTGCACAGCTATGGGCTGAAGGCCCATTGACCCCAAACATGGACATTTTCCCTGCTTTTGAGCCTTCTTGAGAGTGTCTGAGAAGACAGGTACGCCCCGGAGGGTTTTGCCATTGTGAAAATAGATTGTAACTGCCAACTTCCATCTGGTCGTGGGCCCTGGCCACAGTGGGTGGAAGCCAGGGAGCCATCACTGAACTCAATAAGAACTCAATAAGCCACCAATAAGAACTTTTCCTGGTGTGCCATGACCTCCTACACCTTCAAAATCCTGCTCAGCCCCTTGTGAGGGGCAGTCTTCCCTAACAGCCCCATTCCTACAACAGTTTACAAGAACCTTTACCTCAGCTGCCCCTCACTGACGCATGCCCATAGAACAGGGCTCTCTGAGTACCACTGGGCCTAGCAGTTTGGGGGATGCCATGCCAGGACTGGTCTTGTCTCCCTTGCAGCTGTGCCACCATCTGAGACCTTTGGCTTTAAGGTGGCTGTGATCGCCTCCATTGTTAGCTGTGCCATCATCCTTCTCATGTCTGTGGCCTTCCTCACCTGCTGCCTGATAAAGTGTATAAAGAGGAGTGAGCTGAGGCGCGCTGACAGGTGAGTGCACGGTGCTACTGCAGAGGTTCCTGGGAGGTGGGCCTGGGGTCTGGGGTCCTGACCTCACAGAAGTAGGCCAGGTCCTGCCACTTGGGCCACTGTGCCTCTGAAAGTGTCAGGCACCAGGGGTGGTGGGTGGGGAGGTGGCATCTTGCTGTTCACAGGGCACTGAGGCCAGAAGTTGTCTGTGGCTTGTGCTCTTCAGTGTTGGAACATTGGGCTAAGTGGAGCATGCTAAACTGTAGCTAGTCTTCACTATATCTTCTTGGGGGGGGGGCGGTGGTGGTGGTATAGTTTAATTGTTGTAAAATACTTATAAAAGTCCTTGTTTTAACTATTTTTAACTGTATAATTCAAGGGTATTAGTTACATTCTCATTATCGTGTGTCCATTGCTCAGTCCATCTCTAGAACTCTCTGCTATCTTTGTCAGTAGCATTTTACTGCTATGTAGCTGAGCTGCTCATTTGCCAATCATCCTGAGTGACAGAGCTAGGATGCCACAGTTACTGTGTGGCTGAGATGCCCACATGCTCACCGTGGGTTTTGCAGGATCTTGGCCACAGACCAGGGTTGGGAAGTGTACTGGAAGCACCTGACATCCTCTCCATCTGTCTACAGGGTGGCCCAGCTGTGGCTCCAGCTGCGTGGTGAGGACCTGGAGACAGTGCAGGCTGCTTACCTGGGTCTCAAGAGTCCGAACAGCAATAGCAGCTCACAGCCCAGGAGCTGGCTCAGCCAGGTTCATGACAACCAAAGCTTCACCACGTAGGCATCCACTGGTCCATGGTGTAGTGGGTGGGTTTGGTGGAGGACTTAAGGGGTCAGGGTGTGGGCCTGTTTAGCAGGAAACCAGACTTGAAAACCAGAACCCTGCTTGCTGTACGCAGGTCACCAGGCCCGAGTGCTTGTCCCTGGAACCAGAGGCAGCAGTCGGTCCTTCCAGGCACCCTGAGCACCCCAGAAGCGCCTCCCTGTGCCTGTACTTTGATAATCAAACCTGCAGAGAAGTTGAAACTTCTGGTCTCAGGAGGGTTCCACAATGTACACTTGACTTACTCTCCACCCAGCACCTGCCTTCTCTCTCTCTCTGTCTCTCCCATTTATGTGTGTCCCTCTCATTTTCCCTATTTCTGTCTCTCTCTGTTTCTGAAAGAACACACACACACACACACACACATTTTTGACATTTTTGAACCAATGTCAGGACATTTTCTCTCACGCCTATTTGTGACTTGGCGATGTAATCCTGGCTGAAGGTGAACTTTATTTTTTTTTTTTAAAGATTTATTTATGTATACAAGAGCCGGGGTACAGGCCAGAGGTGTGTATGTGGGGAGGGGTGGTGGTGAGAGGATTCACCAGAAACAGACTGGGGAACAGAACAGGCAGACTGACTGAAATACACTGCTGAGGGGAGCAGCAGGCAAGACAGGAGAGATCTGCTGTGCCATGTGTGTTTCTCCCTGGCTGGCCGGGGATTGAACTTGTGCTGCAGAGGCTGCAGATAGCTTCACAGGGCTGTGCTTAACCCTTTGCACCACCAGGGAGGCCCTGAAGGTGAACTTTAGATACAACCACCTCCTGAAGCTGTTAGTAGCTTTGAGCACGTGCCCTTTGACCCAGGATTCTGCTTGTTCCAGTTGTGGAGTCTCCTTCATTGGGGACCAACTTCATGTCTCTAGTGCCACTGCCTCTATGAGACTATTTCTGGTGGGGGCACCGTGGCTGATGCTGGTCAGATTACACACCATTAGCCTGTCCCCCAGCAGGACCTGGCAGTTCCACTGTCAAGTGATGATGAAGGGACTCTGTGAGGAGTCATCCCTTCTAACCCATGACCTCCTCCCAGGGGTGATCTGAGATTACAGTTCTGCCATTCCTTCTGTGAGGAATGAGGATGACTTCTGGTTTTCTTTCTTTTCCATTTTGTTTTGTTTTAGTATTTTAGTATTTTAGTATTCCTATGGGCTCATGGGTATTTTTTCCTCAGACTTTATTTGGAGAATTTCATAAATATACAGAAGTAAGGAGAATAGTGTCATGGTCTCCTGGCCTGCCTCTGCCTTCAGGGCTTCTGAATTCCCCCATCATTTGGAGTCATATTTCCAGCTGTGATCCTTTGTCTGTGGGAGCCCCAGTGCCTGCCACTCTGGTTATGCCTTGTTCTTTCAGAAGTTCCTTTCCTTTCTCCATAAGGTTCTGGGCCCTCAAGTGCATCATAGTGATACGAAAATGACAAAACAAAATGGAAAAGGAAGAAAACCAGAACTCATGCTCATTCCTCACAGAAGGAATGGCAGAATTGCAATCCCAGAATATGATCACCCCTGGGAGGAGGTCTGTGTATCCCCCTTCCCATACAGCTGGTGAAAATGAGGCTTCAGGGTGCAGGGGAGACCCTGTGCTTGCCACGGACACCTGGCTAAGGCTGGGGGTGTTTTCTCTTTCCCACAGTGGGCACAGAGCTGCATGAGGAATTGAGTCTACTCACTGAGGAAGTGGGAGAGCCCAAGTAGGGATGTCCTGAGGGCTCCCTGACATGCTGGAGGAGGCCAGCTTGAGGGCCACCCTGAGAGGTGATTCTAGTCAGTACAGCTCAAGAGGCAGGAAGTAAGATGGGGGAAGCACATGGGCAGAACTCTCCTGCAGCTCCTCTCAAACCCCACTCAGCACAGTTTAAGGGGGACGCAAGAAAGGCCCTGAGTCAGGGTCTCTGATAGCACAAAGCTCAGGGGCCTCTGGAAATGCCATCCTTAGGCAAGGCTGGGTGACTGGTAGTGAATTATCTTAGCAGGGTCCATTGTAATTTTATCTCATTTTAAGAAATATGTTCAGAATCACACAGCTAGTAAAGTGTGACAGTGCATTCAAACTGGCTCCAAAGTACATGAACTTGCCCACAGCTGTCTGTCCTCTCTAATTGATTCACTCAATCATTGAACCAGCATATAACTTCTTAATTCCTACTAGTCCCTAGAGTTTTTTTTTGAAAACTAGGTATAGGTGGGGGCAGTGATCCTAGCAGGCTTCCTAAAGGAGGTGATGCCTGAAGTGAACAGGCTGGGCTAACCTGCTTTTTGGGAAGGAAACAGCCAGCATCTTACTGGGAGGGAATAGCCTTGCAGAGACAAGCAGGCTTTAGGGAGCCAGGTCAGAGTGGATAGACCAGATGGACAGGAGTGATAGATAGAGGCAGGGTTGAATGGGCAGGGGATGGCCAGCATTTGATCAACCTAGAGGATGAAGTGGTTTAGGTTTAGAATAGGGGGAGCTTCATGGAACTGAGAATCTAGGAGGTGGTGATCTGACCCCAAACTACCAGAAGTTAGGCCTCATAGGAACAAAGGTAACCTCACCCCCTGATGCTCATGATCCCTACTGGCTTTTCCCTTTCTGGGGCATCTGGGCCTGACCCCCAGGAATTACATACACTGAATGAATCTCCTTCTTCAGCACAAGCCCTAGGAAGCCCCTTCCCTATCTTAGAAGGCAGGCGAGTGGTGCCAATGGAAGAGCATCTTTGTATGTAGGGCAGCTCCAGCAGGATGAAACTGGGCTCCTCAACCTAGGGGCACAGTTTGCCACAGGTCTACCTCCATTTTCCCACATGGATAGAGTTGGGGTTTGACAGATCATATTCTTCCTAAAGCTCTTGCTTCCTCTCTCTCCACAGAGACTTTGGTGAGGGCACCAGAGAGGTGGCTGGCCTGGCCCACAGTGTGAACAAGGACCCATGGACCCTGGGACCTGGTGCTCTGAACCCCATTGGCACTACTGGCTTCCCCGACACTCAGAGGATGATGCATACAACAAATATGGGGCAGATTGTGCCTGCCTCCAGACTCACCTCAGGAATCTGCAGACAGCCCATGGCCTATGTCCCCGGATGACCACAGCCAAGGACTCTCTCACTTGTGGGGGTTGGGGGCATTCACAACTTGACGTGTCCAGCTTGAGATTGGTCATGAAGTCAGCTTCTGGCTTAAGGATCTTTCAGGACTCCCACCTGGGCACTCAAGGGAGGTGTCCTATCTGGGGGAGCCCAGCCGCAGCAGTTTTTATAGCTAGGCTCCTTGAAACCATTGCCTCAGAGGATCTCAAACCCAGTTGCAGCCTCCCTCTGACCTGGTTCTGGTAAAGATACAGGGACAGTTTAAGCAAATCTAGTTTTGCATATCAGAGTAGGAAAATAAACTCAGCAACTTCAGATGCATCTTCCTCATGGGGCGCTGCCTGTGAGATGGGACTTGATGAAATGTCAGCATCCAGTCTCTAAAATTATTGATCAAGGTTGTAAAATAAACAGTTCTTTTGAATGCTGAAAAATACAAAGGTAAACATCACTCTCTTGGATTTCAGTCCCTCTAGAGAAAAACCCCAGGCACACTGGCCTAAAACTATTATCCTTTATTACCGTTTGGGCTCCAGACTTAACCAGTGCTCAGCTGGTGGCCCTCAAGGCCCTTTCTGAGGTGCTGTGGTCAGCTGGTGACTGGCACTGGCTGTGAAAGGCTGGCCAACACATCAGAATACGCTGCTGCTGTCTGCAGAGACCTCCGAGGGGCATGATCATCTTACATCTTGGTGAGAATTCCAAGTGCAAGCACCATCTTTCAGGCTCCAGTCATGTCATGTCCTTCGCAGTAGGGGTGGCAGCTGGACCTTTTGGTGAAGGAGTGTCATACCTGCATATGTCCAGCCCAGTCTTCCACCTGTCCTGATCCCAGGTGAGCCCTGTGTGCATGCCTGTGGGTGTGGCTGTAGTTGGCAGTCTCTCATGCACACTTGTTTGCTCCATTTAACATGACCTTGGGCTCATTCTGTAGTGCCTTCTGCATATTCACCTCCTAAGTGGCTTGGGCTAGCCCCATCTTCCAGGTTCTCATCAGTGGAGCGTCACCTCTGTTCTGGGCAGGTTGAACTCCAGTCTATTACCATTTGGGGTGTGGACTGTTTAACCATTGAGGAAAGTGGCTGAGTTTTGCCCTCTGACCTTTCTTCCTGCCTAGAGGGCCTACAGCCATACTGGGGCCATGAGGAGAAGGGAGCCCGATGAACAAGCGGCAGTCCAGAAGGAGCTTGAGCTGCCTCCAGACACATGGTAAAATCTACCATCTTAACCATTTTGAAGTGTAAAGTTTGGTGGCATTAAGCACATTCAACCATCACCTCCTTCCATTTCCAGAACTTTCTCACCTTCCCAAACTGAAATATACTTATTTTACAATAACTCCATTTTCCTCCCCCAACCCTTGTACCCCCCCATTCTGCTTTCTTTTAGTCTCTATGAATTTGATGACTAGGGAACTCATATGAATAGAATCATCCAGTATTTGTCCTTTTTTTGACTGCCTTATCATATCTCATTGAGCATAATGTCCTCAAGGTTTATCCATGTTGTAGCCTGTGTCAGAATTTCCTTCCTTTTTTTTTTTTTTAAAGATTTATTTATTTATACAAGAACCGGGGGACAGGCCAGATGTGCAGGAGGGTGAAAGGATTCACCAGAGACAGAGCGGGGAACAGAACAGGCAGACTGACCGAAATACACTGCTGAGGGGAGCAGCAGGCGAGACAGGAGAGGTCTGCTTGCCATTTGGGCATCTCCGCGGCCAGCAGAGATCCAATCAGCACTGCAGAGGCTGCGGACAGCTTCTCAGCACTGTGCTCAACCACTTGCACCACCAGGAAGGCCCAGAATTTCCTTCCTTTTTAAGACTGAATAATATCCCACTGTATGAGTGGACCACATTTGGTTTATTCATTCACTGTTGATGGACACTTGGGTTGTTCTGCCTTTTGGCTATTGTGAATCACGCTCTGAACATGAATGTACAAGTATCACTTAAGTTCCTACTTTCTGTTCTTTTGTGTATATAGAGTGTTAAGATGAAAACATAAATCACAATGGATCACCACACTCTCCTTAACACATCACCCTCAAATGGTATGTGCCAGCTCCCTGGCTCTCCTTTACCACCTGCCCTCACCCTTTTGCTCACCCTGGGGCTGGGCACATTGACTGAACCTCAATCATAGAATGACCATCTTTGCCTGGGGCTTCATATGTGTACCTCCTCTGAAATAGTCTTCCCCAGCTGTCATATGCTGTGCCCCTTCACATCAGCCAAGCCGCTGCTCAGATGTTTAGTGCACTAGTTATATACTTTCACAGATATGAGTACACCAAAATGTAGTGGTCAAAACTAAAAGTCATTTATTACCTCTCAGTTTCGGGTGAGGCTGGTAGGGTCCTGAGGCTGCTGTCGGGTTGGCCAAGGCTGCCCTGTAGGTTTGACTGGGCTAGAATCCACTCCCAGGGTGGTTCTCTTCCTCAGGCAGGCTGGTGTCAGCTGTCTGCTGGAGGGCTTAGCTCCCCCCCTCCTCCGCCACCAGCCCCCTGCAAAACTGAGCATTGCTTGAGTGTCCTCATGACGTGATGGTGCTGCCCAGAGTAAATGACCTGGAAGATAAAGGTAGAAATCACATCATCACTCTGCCACATTTCAGGGTCACAGAATCCAGCCTGATTACCATGGGAGGAGATGTGAGATTCTGGGGACTTTTTGGAGGCTGGCCAGGCAGCCACTAGCCTCTTACCCTTCATAGTATGTATCAGATGATTGCTTTATCAGTCTGAGCAGAAGCTCTGAGGGGTAGACCCTCTTGCCTTTTTGAGCATCATTTAGTGGGCACATGGCTAGTGTTCAGGGAACATTTACTGAATGAATGAATGAATGAATGAATGAACGAATGAATGGTGGCCCTTGGCCAGGTAAGAGTGTGAGAGGAGAGTATCCCTTTTCCTTCCTCAGTGTTCAGACTCTTTATTGACAACTGTGTCCCTTTGCTCAGTCACTTCCAGTCACATAGGCTTCCCCTCCACTTATGGCACACACATCCCTCTTGCCTCTGGCCATGCTTGAGTTCAATTTGTTCAACTCATCTGACTAGATTTTAAAGTGTATTTATGGAGCACCTATTATGTGGCTGGCACTGTGATTGAGAGCTGACATTCTAGTGTGGAGACAGGTTAATAGGAAGTGCTAGGAAAAGAGTAAGATGGGTGGACTGCCAGGCTCCCCTTGCTTGGAGGGGTATTCCCCATGGCTAGACCACAGAAGTGCTGATCCAGGTTTTGGGCTTGTGTGATTATCCCATGAAACATGAAAATCTCTTTTTTTTAAGATTTATTTATTTTTATACATGAGCCGGGGTACAGGCCAGATATGCAGGAGTGTGAGAAGATTCACCAGAGACAGAGCAGGAAACAGAACAGGCAGATTGGCTGAAATACACTGCTGAGGGGAGCAGCGGGCGAGACAGGAGAGGTCTGCCTTGCCATGAAACATGAATTTCTTAATATGAATAGAATTGAGTCTCTTCCTAAGAGAAGTTTCCTCTTGGAATATATGAATGTTTACCTATTTCTTTCTGATTTCTAAAAGATCCTTATTAAATTGGGACATGAATGCTCTGTGAGTTGAGCTGCCAACATTTCCCTGGTTCCTAGATTATCTTTTTACTTTGCTGACATTTTGGAAGGGAGACTGAGAAGAGGCCTGAATAAGGAAGAGGGTACTGGAGAAAATCAGGAGGAATAGCAACTGCAGACACAGTTGCTTGATTTGGGATGCACTATCCTGCTTAATTTAAATATTGTATTTCTGATCAGATACTGCCATGGTTACAGAATTGAAATGAAACAAAAGTCTCAGGTGCAGATGAGGGCATGGGAGGGGGTTGGGCCAGATGCAGATGAGGGCATGGGAGGGGATTGGGCCAGTGCATCTGTGACATCCAGGGACTGTGATGAGCAACTTCAGTTCACATGCATCTGGTCCCTTCCATGTGTGAGACCCACATTGCTCACAGATCGGTAAGGGTCCTGAGAACCCTCTACCCTCCAGGACCAAGCACTTACTTTCTACTCGGCGTTGGTGCAGCCAGGGCCTGGAGGTGGCAAAGAGTGAGGCAGCTTACATAAACTCCTGCACCCCAGATCTGGGGAAGGTGAATGCCTGGGGCCTGCCATTTGACTCTGGGGTGGAGCTACTGGGTGAGGATCTAGGCTCACTGCCACAGCCTTCATCTGTTGGAGTGCCCCTCCCAGGCCACATGGAGTACAGGGTCCATGTGCACCAGGGGGGAGCACATTGGAGCAAATTTGGCACCTGGGAGCACTGTTCTGATAGCTAGACCTTAAGGGAGAAACTCTGCCACTCTGAGCCTCAGTTTCCCCATTGTCCCAGTGGCCAAGTGCACATGAAGGTGGAATGCTGGCCTCCTAAAATTGGCAGGGGTGACACCTGGGGCCTTGCTATGTCACCATCTATCCAGATCTCATCCTAATGGTGCTGACATTACTCCTAGAAGGTCAAATGAACTGAGAGAGGTAAATACTAGAAGCCATAAAACAGTGAGAATAATGGGGTTCAGGTCACTCTTCACTGGGTCCCTTTCCTGGAGACCCCCAGAAGGGAGTACCCTGATGCCTAGCCAGCCAGGACTTACCCAATGCAAAAGCAGGTGAGAGCCTGGGAGTGACCACTCAGGTTGGGCTACACAGTTGTCCTTCCCTGGAGGGAGTCCTGTCTATGTGGTCCCTTGGCCTGGGACAGATGGATGTCACCAGGAAGCCTGGCTAGATGCACCCCCAATATTTGGGGAGAAAGCAGATCCTATGTAGTAGCCACCACGACCAGGTCCAAGAGTTTTGGAGTTTTCTGTTTGAAAACAACTGGTCTGATTCTCAGGATGCACCGGAGCACCTGCCTTTGAAGTGGTGGTCCTAGCCATGTTTTGCAGGGATGAAGTGAGGACAGATGTGAAGGGGGAGGAGAAGCATATACCGTGGGGACTGAAGCATCCCTATTCTGTCCGAGAAATGAACACTAAACCAGGTCAAGTTGCAGTGTCTCCAGAGCATGCTATTGGCCAACACAGGCAATGAGGCAAAACCCAAATAGTGCAGGAAGCACAAGTCGTGAAGAGTGGGCTTCCTGCCACACCTGTCCATTTCGTGCTTCTCAGCGGGGCACTCCCGGCTTGGGCACCAGCACTGGGAGGGCCAAGGCTGTGAGAGGAGAGTGAGCTGCTTTGGGAAAACAGAGAATTGCCTAGTCAGGGGGTACACTGCCAGGAGGGGTCCCCTACTACAGACGGGGGCTCCAGAAGGGACTGCCCCACCCAAGTCACACCATCGAGTTGGACCTCTCCCCACGTTTGGGGGACGCATCACTGCCCCAGCACTGCCCTCTTTGGCTGACCCCTCTGGGATACTGATCTCGTACCAGTTTTTTTGCCCTAAACCTGGCTCTGTGCTCCCCACAGCCTGACCGCCTGTGACCTTGGATAAGTCACTTTCTTTTCCAGAGCCTCTGCTGTTTACTCCAGGCGTGGGGCGCTTCCAGCGAGGCGACGACTACCGAGGAGGCAGCGTCGGAGCTGGGAGTGGCGCTGGAGTGGCGACAGAGTCTAGAGTTCCCGTAACGCCACCCCCGACCGTAGGGCGGGGCTCCGGGCAGAGGCCACCAAGAAGCGGCCGCTGGAGGGAGCTGAGCTGAGCGTCGTCGCAGCGACGGGGCGAGGCCTAACGCGAACGGGCGGGGCTCAGCCGGGGTTTAGGGCGTGACAGCGGCGAAGCCCTCGCCGGAGCGGGTCTGACTCGAGCGGAGGCGGGGCTTAGAGCACTCCCGGCTAGCGCGGGGGGAGTGGAAAGGGGCGTGGCCCAGAAAGGGGCGGGGCTCAGCGCTCTGGGGACCTCGCGGGCGCCAGCGAGGAGGGCGTGTTTAGGGCTCTCGTAGCGGAGACGCCGACGCCGGGGGCGTGGCCTAGGTGAGGGCCGGGGCTCGGAGAGGCGGGGCCTACGGGAAGGGGCGGGCCGGACGGCGTGCTGGCTGCGGTCTCCCGCACCCGCGGGCGGCTGACGGGCGGAGGCTCATCGGGGCGAGCTAGCCGGGGCTGTCCGGGCGCGCGCCGGGTCGCCGCCATGACAGGTGAGCACGGGCCGAGACGGGTCGTGCCCGCTGTCCCAGGACGGGTGCGCGGCCCCGGGGGTCCCCCGGGCCCGGCTGCCCCAGTGCTGCTTCAGGGACTGCTGCTCGCTGCTGTGGCCAAATAACCTTGGTCCGTAGCAGCCGACCGAGGGCGATCAGACCCCGGAGGGGTCTGTGGGGCCGGATTCTGACTAGTTTTGGGGGGCGGAGCCCTGGCTTTGAAAAGTTGGGGGGTGGGGCACTTGGAGGGGCGGGAGGGGCGGGGCCTAGGCCCTGGAAGGTAAGAGGGGCGGTTCAGGGTTGGCCCTGAAATGTTCTGGGGCGGGGGCGGAGGCTTGACCCTGGAAACTTATGAGGGCTGTGGTCAGACCCTAGAATGTTCTGGGGGCCCGGGCCGCTGTGCGTCCAGGGTGGGGATGCTGTCTGTCAGAGTGGGAGGTGCGAGTCTGTGGTTCTACTGTACTGTCAAGAGACACACACTCCATTCCTTACAGTTAACTGAGGACTAGACCCCTGGGCAGTGTGTTCCTGGGTAGTGTGCCCTGCTGTGGATGTTATGCACCTCCTGGGCTGCTCTGTCAAGAGAGAGGCCCAGGGGTATCTGGCCAAAGATTGGGCTCTCCAGGAATTTGTGCTTCATTCTGGGTGACCCCAGGTGTTTCACCTTCCTTTTGCAGGATGGGGTTTCCAGCCCAGCTGTCCCCCAAGGCCTGTTTGCATTGGGAACCCTCTTGCCCTCCAGACCCCATCTGAGGAGGGTCGCTTTGCTTTGTGAACCTTCCCCTGTTGCACTGAGAAGCCCTGTGAGGATGGTGAGCCCCCAAGGAAGCATTCTTAGGGAATGGAGGGACTCCACTCTCCAGGCCCCACTCCTCTGCCTTGTTGGACAAAAGTTGCCTAGAGATGGCTGCTGGGGTCAGGGAGGCCCCAGAAGTCCCTGTCATCTCTCCCCATTGCTCATGAGAATCCTAGCCTGGGACTTACACACACATCTGGTTTCCTGGGCTGGAATTTGTGACTTCTGGGACATTGGTGTCCCAGCTTAGACAAGGAGTAACCCTAGCTACCATCCTTGTCATCCCTTAGGACCCTTATTTGTAGTTGCTTTTTCTAAAAACGTACTGTGCATGGCCTTGTGTCAGGCATTCTTTGTATATATTTGTCATGTGATGTCTTGTGGAACGTCTGTGTGGGTGTGAAAAAACAGACTTATTAGGATGCATCAAACCGCAGAAGGCTTGGGCAGTTAGTGGTAGAGCTGGCCAAGCATTACTGCAGCTGTTAGTGGGAGAGTGGTAGCCCTGTGTCCTGCCCAGGCCCCTGTTTCTCTTTCTCCCTTCCAGCTCTGCTCATTGGGCCTGTAGAGACCTCTCCCTTCACTGCCTTCATTTTTGAGAGTGGGACTTGGATCCAGAGAGCCAGGCCTGAGAGGGTGAGATGGACGGCCCAGCAAGCCTTCAGGCCAGGAATCCCTGACTTACTGCTCCTGTAAGCTGTCTGGGGCACTGCCTTGTGCCATTCTGGGGCCTCTAGCATAGGCTGTTAAAGGCTGAGTACACAGGGCCAGTGCTGGCCAAGCATTACTGCAGCTGTTAGTATTGCTGTGGAGCTTTGTGTTCTGGGAAGTGATTGATCTTAGCTCTGGTGATGGGATGGGAGGGGATTCTGGGACTTTTGAAACAGGAGAGGAGTCTCAGGGGAGGTGGGGGAGTACAGTGAGTGATGGTGAATTAGTCAAGTAGGAACCACAGGGACAGGTGTTCCTGTACTTGGGGTGTGTACATTTGGGGGGCTGCCATGCTGAAGGACCTAGAGGGCCCAGTGAGGTGGCTCCTGGGGCCCACATCCAAGGCTTTTGTCTGGCCTGAGAAGAATGAGGTTCCAGCAGGGGTGATGGATTGGGGGGTCCATATCCCTGGTGCCAACTGGGCAAGAGTGGGGAGGAGGTGGGGCTTGGCACATGGAATTGGCAAAGGCCTGATAATTTTTGTGCCAGAGCGTTCTCCTTTGTTCTGTGAAAACCATCTGGAACTGTTTGTCAGGACTTGGGACCAAGGCTGTTTCCTTTTTGTGCTTTTTCGTGCCTTCCCAGGGCTGCCTGGGTGTGGCTTGCATGCATCATGATCACAGGAAGCACAGGGCACAATAGCCTCAGCTCCAGGCTGTGCCACAGTACCAGTGACTCACAGCTCTCAGGCGGGGAGGCCCTTTTGGCTAGCAGCCCGCAGTATGAGGAGTCAGCTGCAGGGTGAGAAGCCTGCAGCCACTGTCAACCAACAGCTGGGCTTCAGATGTATATCCATTCATTCCAGAACTCTATGTTGAGCACCTACTGTGGATGGGCCTTATGTACAGATGCACATGGCTGGGGGAGCCTGAGCTGGATTAGACATTCTTGGACCTGCCCTCATGGACCTGGCCAGAACCATATAGGACACAGCTAATTGCAGTTAATTACTATGTTAGTTAAGGGATGCAATGTCTGGATGTCATTTAGTTTTTAGTCCTGACCTCCATCTATCTGTCCCTGTTTGAGGTCTTAGGCCAGTACCATCCATTCTCTGTGCTTCAGTTTCTCCATCTGAAAATGGGGGTGGGTGATCATGCTGGAGTTGCAGAGCTGATGGAATGGTGAAGATTGTATGCACAGAGTGCATATGGTGCCCAGTGCGGGGTGGGCTCTTGAATTCTTTAATGACAGAGGCTGCATGCCCTGAAGCCACATGGCCAGGAGGGTCATGCCCATCATGGCCATGGCACTTCACTGTGTATCCCTGTACAGTTGCTCACTGAGATGGGGCTACTGACAGTTTGATCTTCCAGGTAGACTTCCTGGGCCTGGAATTGTTCCTGGGCCTGGGAGAGTTCAGAAGTTAGAAATTCATATTCTGGGAAAAACCCCCAAAGTGGCACTGGAGATAGATGAGGGGGACAGACTATGAGTCAGTCTCACTTTTTCCAAAAGGATTTTCCCACTAAAATATCAACTTTATTGGGGTCTTGTTTACCTACAAAGAGATATACTCCTTTTTAGTGAATAATTTGGTACTTTTTGACAAATGTATACACAAGTGTACAGACAAATGAACCAGCCCAAGCCTATTCAAGACAGAACATTTCACTCCAGAAAGTTCCTTCCTATGCCTCTGAGGTAATCCTGCTTTGATCCAAGGATTCACCTACTTTCTGTGATACCCATTTATTCTTTTAAAATTCAACATTGGAATTTCAAAATAAAATTTCTTTTTAATAAATAGATTTTGTTTTTAGAGCAGTTCTAGTTTACAGATAGTTGAACATATAGCACACAGGGTCCCATATACCTGTACTCTCACTCGGAGGCTTGACTGGGAAAGAATTAGCTTCTAAGCCCACTTAGGATTGTTGGCAGAAGTCACTTGCTTGTTTCTGCAGGACCGAGGGTCCAGGTCTGTTTTGCCTGTTTTTAGAGACAGCTGGTGTCTGGCTCCTAGAGGCCACCTCTGCTCTTTTCATGTGGACTTCTTCACTAGGACAGCTTACTTTTTCATGCCAGCAAATACTCTAAAATGAGTTTTCTGTTAAGATAGTCTTTTATAAGGTGACAACCATGATAGTGACATTGCATTGCCTGTGTCATAGTCTCTTTGTCAGAAACAAGGCACAGTCCCACTCACAATTGCAGGGAGGGGAGGCCATTAACTTTATGTGCATTTGCAGTGTACATTTCCTTCTTAGCACTGCCTTTGCTGTGTCCTTCAAGTCTTGATCTGTTGTATTTCTATTTTCATTTGTCTCAAGGAATTTTCTAATTTCCTTTGTGATTTCTTCTTTGATCTGTCATTTAATTTCTATATAATGGTGAATTTTCCATTTGACCTTCTCTTTTAAATTTCTGGTTTCATTCTGTGCTACCAGAAAAGGTCCTTTGTATGATGTCAGTCTTTCAAAATCAATTATGACTTGTTTTGTGACCATCTGTTTTGTGGTCTTTCCTGGAGAATAGTCTATGTGTACTTTAGAAAAATGTATATTCTGCTGCTGTGGGTGGAGTGTCTGTATTTGTTAGGTGTCATTGGTTTATAGTGCTATTCACATCTCTCTTTCCTTATTGATCTTCTGTCTGCTTCTATCTGTTATTGAAAGTTGTATATTGAAGCCTCCAACTATTACAAAGCTGTCTGTTCCTCCCTTTAGTCTGCCAGTGTTTGCTTTATGTACTTTGGGACTCTGTTATTTGTTGCATATGTTTATGCATCGACTCTTTTATTGATATTTTCCTTTTCTAACAGTTTTTGGCTTAAAGTCTATTTTTTTCTCATGTTAGTATAGCCACGTAAGCTCTCTTTTGGTTACTATTTTGCATGGTCACTAATATTCCATTGTCAGCCTGTATACATCTCTAGAAATAAAGTGGGTCTTTTGAAGACAGCATACCGTTGAGTCTTTTTTTTTTTTTTAATCCTGAGAGGGAAAAACTCTTTCTCCTCTACTCCTGCACACAGTACACATACATCTCAACACTTCTGACATTTTTGCTCGCCAAGTGTGTTTTTTTCCCCTACCAGGTAATTTTCCAGTTCTTCGGTAGACATCAGCCAAGTATTCTGTAATTTAGCTTAATCTTCACTTTAATCTACTTAAAGTTGATGTCAGGTCCCACAGGTTGAGGGTTCAATCCCACAGGCCTGCCCCCACTTCAAACATCAATCACAAATCCAGGTTGTCAGCACTACTTTTGACTGACTGGCTGTAATTCAGAGCTCTCATGATCCCTCCTTGGGTTCAGTTAGTTTGCCAGAGCAGCTTATGGAACTCAGGGACACATGTTGCCAGTTTATCACAAAGGCTATTTCAAAAGACGCAACTGAATGTCCAGATGGAAGAGCTGCTTAGGGCAAGGCATGTGAGAAGGATGCAGTGCCTCTGCGCCCTGCTGGGCATGCCATCCTTCCAGTTCCTCTACGTGTTGAGAACTCAGAAGTGCTCCAGACTTTGTCCTCTTGGGTTTTTGTGGCACTCTCATTACATGGTCATAGTTAGTGAAATCACTGGCTGTGCACAACTGATTCAACCTGCAGTCCCTCTCCTCTCCCCAGAGGTCCAGGGTGGGAAACTTCAACCCTCTAATCACTAGTTGGTTCTTCTGGCCACCAGCCTCCATCATGGGGTTATTGTAGGATCTTTACAAAAATCATTTAAAAACTCAGGTGAAGTTGAAAGGGGCTTGTGTGCCAGGAAGTATGATGAGGACCAAATATGTATTTCTTATAAGTTACAGATCCATGCTGCCAGTGTCTTTTGATTGGAGTTTCATCCATTTAATTTTAATTACTGATTAAAAGTAACTTGTTTCTGTCTTTTTGCTATTTGTTTTCTGTGTGTCTTGTAGGGTTTTGTGTGTGTGTGTGTCTAGTTAATTTTTTTGCGACATTTTTATTTCCTTTTGTAGATACTCTATGGGTATTTCCTTTGTGACTAGCAAAGTTATAGCAGTCTAACTTAAATTGATAACACACTTACCTCCAATTGCATATGAACACTCCATTTCTGCTCAGCCCTGTTCTGCAATGGGTTGTGTGGAAGCTGCCAGAGGGGTAGAGTGTGCCCTAAAGGGTTCCATGCCCTATTTCCCAGCCTGCCGGTTTATACCCACCGCCTGGCCTTTAAGGTCCTATCATTCATAGAGATGTTCTTGGTGAAGATATGGCTTAGTGCTCTAATGGTGATTCTGAAAGAAAAAAACAGCAGGAAAGTCATTCCCTAGCCCTTTAGCAGTCACAGCAACCACCATACTTTGTGGGTTTATTATTCCCTTTTTATAATTGAGGATATTAAGTCTTGGGAAGGAGGGTGGAATGACTTGCTAGAGAAAGCCATTGAGTGCCCATTGGTGGCCTGTGCTGGCCTCCACAGGGGATCTTCTCAGGGACTCCTGCTGGTGGGAGCTCTCCAAACCTAGAAGACAAATGCCTTGTGTCATTGGCAGCGCAAGCCACACTGAGCCCTCACTCCTGAGTGCTTGTCTCCTCTCCCATGATAGTGCATTCTCTAAGCCACTGTGCCCTCCTCAGGCCCTGGCTCTTTCCAGAGGGTGGGGCAGCATATTCGCAGACCCTCGAGTTTGTTTTCTGCGATAAGCCTTTGGGCCTAAACAAGAGAGGCCAGTGGCCACATCTGCCTATTCCGTCTTCTGGTGAGGAGTCTGCGGGGCACAGGGCTCTGTGCTGTGCATGAGACCCATGCTGGCCATTGTTCAGTGCTCATGGCTGGGTGTGCCCTACTGGCAGGTGCAGGGCCTTGCATCCAGGGCTCAGCTGAGGTAGTGTGGGTACATGTGACCTGCTGCATGCTGGCTCACACCCTCTGTGCTCTCTGCCCTTTCAGATCAGACCTACTGTGACCGTTTGGTCCAGGACACACCTTTCCTGACAGGCCATGGGCGCCTGAGTGAGCAGCAGGTGGACAAGATTATCCTGCAGTTGAACCGCTATTACCCTCAGATCCTAAGCAACGAGGAGGCAGAAAAGGTGCTGATACTCCCCGTGCCACCCTCCCTTGCTGGTCTTGAAGTGCAATAGCTTCATGAAAGAACGAGGTGGGCCCTTATCTCCTGGGTGACCTTGGGTCCAGAACATCCAACAAAGGAACTTTAGTCTCCTCATATGTCCTCGGGCCTGTCGGGGGGTCACACAAGACATCATGTAACAACATGAGCCAAACCTGGAGGGCAAAGGAAGTAGAGTGGAGGCACTGACTAAGTCTCACCCTTACTTTTCATTCTGTCTCTTGAAGGGTCAGCATGGACACCCCCAGTTTTGGGTGGCCCTGGGGGGCTGGAATTCAGGGATACAAGGTGCTCCTTGCTCTCCCCACCTACTTCCCTGCCTTCCCTATGGGGCTGAGCCTTGGGGGTGCAGGGCCCAGCCCCCAGTTGGGTGTTGGTGAGTGTTGCTCCTGGGAACTGAAGCTTCCTCCTGGTGCAGAGTAACTGCTCATGCAGGGCTGAGGATTGGGGCTTGTCCAAGGAGTAGTCAGGGTGACCCCAGACAATAGGATCAGTAACAGATAAGTTAAAAATGAGTTCAAAATTAAAATCTCACCATAATTAAAAGTCTAATGCATACTCATTGTAAATAATTTTGAAGTTTCAGGCATTTATATGTGAGCAAGGGAAATTCCTCTGCACACGTGCCTGCACAATCATTTCTTCATCCTGCTGTGCACTTGACTTTGTTTGCAATTTCTGCCCTTTGGTGGGGCAGCTGGGGTTCCACTGTAGCATAGTATGGTGCCACCAGGTGGCAGCACAGGGCCACAGCCTCCTGGTCCTTGTGACTGCCCCATGAACTTGACCTATAAAGCCACACATTTCTCCACAACACATCAAAAGAGCCAATTCTTTTCTCCTTAGCCTTCAATTTATTTTTTTTTAAGTACTTGGATCACATTCCTGTGAGAAGTTAACATCTCATTGATTCCCCCTAAGGACCATACCTTGTGGATTTATTATTCCCTTTTTATAATTGATGATATTAAGTCTTGGGAAGGAGGATGAAATGACTTGCTAGAGTAAGCCATTGAGTGCCCATTGGTGGCCTGTGCTGGCCTCCACCGGGGGTCTTCTCAGTCATGTTGTGACAGGCAGTCATAACTCCCATGGGGGTTCCAGTGAGCAGGTGTGTCTCTGCCCGCCCCCACCTTTGCCTTGACCTGTGGCACCCCTTTCATTTTCCCCCAGTTCCGTAACCCCAAAGCTGCCCTACGTGTACGGCTCTGTGACCTCCTCAGCCACCTGCAGCGGAGTGGCGAGCGGCACTGTCAGGAGTTCTACCGCGCCCTGTTCATGCATGCCCAGCCCCTGCACCACCGCCTGCCCAGCCGGCACGCCCTCGGTGAGTGCCAGTCCTGGGGAGGCCATGCTCTGGCCTCAGTGCCTCCTGCTCAGCTTGTGCCTGAGACCATCCTGGCTGCACTCCCACAGCCCCCAGAGAGGAGAGGGGATGTCAGGCATGCAGATGGCTCTGTCCCGTTCTCTGTCTCTACCTACTTTTGTCTCTCTGTCTCCCTGGCCCCCTATCTCTATCTTGTCTGTCTCCTCTGTCTCTCCCTGTCTCTGTCTTACTCCCTGTCTCTCTCAGCGGCCTATCCCTATAGGCCGTTTCACCGTCTCTATCTCTCTGTCCCTTTTCTCTATCTTAGCTGTCTGTCTCCTCTGTTTCTCCGTGTTTCTCTGTTTGTCTTTCTGTCTCTTTCCTCCATCTCTCCCTGTTTCCCTTTCTTCTTCTGTCTCAGTTGTTCTGTCTCTCTCTTGTCCCAGTTTTTACACAAAGATAATACCTGGTACCATGTAAGCTAGCTGGCCCCACAGTGGGTACTGAGAATGTGTTCCCCTCTCCTGGGTTGGGCCCCACATTATAGGTGTTTCTCTAGAACAGTCTCAGCAAAGTGACAGTCCCAGGCTTGGGTGTTTAGGTTTAGAGGGTTCTGAGGGTCCGCTGAGCTTCAGGGACAGGAGGTTCATCTGGGTGAGGAGGGTGGCTCAGTACAGATGCCTCTGCACCCCAGTTCCCAGGAGGAATGGCTGTCCTAAGGCGAGAGACTAGAAACCCCCAGGGACAGGGTGGCTCATCTCTGGCCATTCTGGGGACCTGGGCCAACAGAACTGAACCCTTAGTTCTGGCACAGATAGACAGTCTTGGAAGTAGATACCTCTTGGTTCTGGTGCCCTTGGGGCTACCCAGCTTGTGGGGAGATGGGGTGGTCTGGGGAGAGTGCCCTGCCTGGGCTGCAGGACCCTGCTCACTTCAGGCATTGGATAGGCGGGTATTAGAACTATACTTGCTACCTTGTGCCTGCAGGAATCATGCCCCCATCCATGACCCTCAAGCTCCTAGGAAGTAGACAGAGGAGACCCAAACCATGAAGGCTTCCACAAGTCTGGTCATAGGGTTCCCTCCCTGGCACTGACTCTGCCAAATGTGCTCAGTGGGCTAGGAGCCCACACAGCTTGGTCTAGTCTGGCTCAGCCCAGAACTGGGAGGCCAGGGGGAGGGGGTGCTTGGCAACCCCCTGGGTGTCCCTTGGGCGGGGCAACCGCCTTCCCCTCTGGCCCGACCATGACTAACCAACACTGTGATTTTGTTTCCAGAGGACTCAGAGAGCACAGAGCTAGACTGGGCCGCTGCGAGCTGCGAGCTCAGTGACAGGGGTAACGGCCTCCCACATCCCCCCTGCTCCCTCCCCACCCCAGGACTCGACCTCAGGTGTCTGTACTCCAAGTCAGGCTCCACTCCTGGCTTCCTGTGGACAGATCCCTGAGGTACTCCTTGGCAGTACCCCCACTGACCTTCCTGTCCGGTTTCTCTCCAGGACCCGTGGCCTTCCTGGCCTGCTTGGGCCTGGCTACAGGACTGGCGCTGCTCATCTACTGCTACCCTCCAGGTGGGTGTTGCCCCAGCCCCAGGCCTGCACAGACCACTGTCCATGAGCCTCCTGTGGCCCCAAAGCACTGAGCCCCTTGGCATTTCTGTGTCTCAGTTTCCTCACCTGTGGGTGATGTCAGGACATGGGAAATGGGAGAGTGGGGCCCAAGTGTATCAGGCCCAACAGCTACCCCCACAGGTCAGAGGGTGAGGTGTCCACTTGGTAGGAGGGGTGCTGGGGATTAGAAAGCTTTGCCCCAAAGCTACCCTTCCTCCCTCCTTGGACATGGCCTTGATGGATGGGCAGAAGACCTAATGCAAGCTCACCTCATAGCCCAGCAGAGCCACCCACCCACATGCCCTCCCCCCCACCCTCAGTCTACCATGTTTGAGCTTGTCTAAGGTGGAGGGGGGTAAAGGGGATGGGTCTGGTGCTAGATGGGTGTGGACACAAGTCATTCATTGTGGGACTGGGACATTGTGAGGCTGAAAAGGGACTTTTGAGGAGGGTCCTGAAACTCCTTGTTTTCTAGACCCCAAGGTGCTTCCTGGGACCCGGCGCGTCCTGGGCTTCTCCCCAGTCATCCTGGACCGGCATGTCAGCCGCTTCCTGCTGGCCTTCCTCACAGATGATCTAGGGGGGCTCTGACGGATTCCCACCCACCTACCACCCACCAAAGAGTCCTGTTCACCCAGGGCCACTTCTTTTCTAAAAGCTTATTTTCTACTATTTATGATTTCTTTAAGAAGCACTTCACCCTCGCCTTATATGGATGCTCAGCAACATTAAATGTTTGAGTGTTGTCAGGATTGTGTTCTAGATGTTTCTGACTCCAGACTCCATGATGTTTCAGCCTGGGCTGACCCTGAGATCTCTCTATCCCACCTGGTGTCGAGGTTCTATATAGGCCAACCCCCTTGACTCCTTGTGGGCCTGGGCCATATCCCTTCTCTTTACTTCTCTTCTGGGCCCCAGCCCTAGTGGGGAGGATGGACTGGGGCCCCTTGCTTGCATATATGAACTCCATTTCCTTGTGGACACCCCAGTAGGTGGTAGGCTGTGTCTCTGCTTTCCTGATGAGGAAACTAAGACTAAGAGGGATAGGGGGCTTGGCACATAAGCTGGGTGCCCTTGCTACTGCACAACCCCCTTTGGTCTCCTTGTCCCTGTCCACCTGTCCAGTCCCCTGAGCAAATGCCCAGCCCCTGTGCCCCCCAGCCAGTGACCCCTCTCCTATGAACAGAGTCTTTCCTACCCTCTGGAGAGATACGATTACAGTCAAAACCTGGAAATGAGGACTTGTTTCTAATCTGAAGCTTCCTAGATGCTGAGAACAAAATCATCCACAATGCCTTCTAGAACTCTTAAGAGATGAAAACCTTCTTGTGCTATCTCAGATCATGGGCACTGACTCCTCATGCCCTGCATCTTTGGCTTGGGGTTTGACCACATGTACCCCTTGTCTTTAGTGCTGGGACCCCTGACCACATGGGGACATGGACCAGCCTCCTGAACGGGAGTGTCCGTACTGTCCTATGTTACCTGCCACGCTCAGGCCTCAAGAGCCCATGGTGGAAAGGTCCCTCATGGACACAGAGTGTGAGCATACAGATCCAAGAGGGCCTGGAGGTCTCAGCTTGGCATCCTGTCAGACTCTTGGGGTCTCCATGAGCCAACTAAGTCCCCTTGGGCTCCTGATGACCCTGGGATTCCAATCATGTCCCACATCCTCTCTGTGGGCCTGTTAACAAAATATACAGCGAGAGGCCAAGGTATAGAGCCAGGATCACACAACCCCCAGAGGGGGCCCCATCGGCCCTCACTGTATCTGCATGCACATTCACACACAAGCTCGTGCACAGCACCATATGCAAATACGCTCAGATGCTCTCATGGACATGCAAATAGTGCTCAGATATGCACCCACACTTGTGTGCTAGCATGTTCATGTGCATAGCACTCATGTACATATGCACACATGCAAGCAAATGCACATATACACACATGCGCACAACAAAATGAGGGCTGCAGGGAGCTGGCTGTGGACCCCATGGATGTCTTTCCAGTTGTCCCCTTTCATCAACTCCTCCCCTCCCCACAGCCTCTCTTGGGGAAACAGAAGCCTATTTTTTAACCAAAGAATCATCATGAGTTTGCATTTTCTATGGGGTTTCCGGAGGCCCGAGGCTGACTGATTGCAGGATGCTGCTGTGGGCCCTGAGGGCCCCTCTCCCATCTCAGGCTCTGATGGGAGGCAAGATGGGGACCGGAATCCACTCTGGGACATGGTGTTCCACACCCCTCATGTGTTAATTCACCAAGTGGTATCAGAAGTGAGGGTGAGGGAGAACTTCCTGTCACAGCCTCCAGACAGGTTGGCTTACCACCCATCGTCCAGTGTGCCCAAACCCAGTCTCGGTCTTTCCATCTGTAAAATGGAACTCTGTCCTGGGACCCACTCTTTTTTTTTTTTTTTAAAGAAGGTTTTTTTTTTTTTTTTTTAAAGATTTATTTATTTATTTATACAAGCACTGGGTACAATTAGAAGTGCGGGAGGGCGAGAGAATTCACCAGAGCCAGAGCGGGGAGCAGAACAGACAGACCGACGAAGCACACCACTGAGGGGAGCAGCGGGCGCCAGGAGAGGTCTGCGCGCCACGTGGGACCCTCGCCCATCGGCCGGGGATTGAACTGGTGCTGCAGAGGCTGCGGGCAGCCCCGTAGCCCAGCGCCTCAACCGCTGCACCACCAGGGAGGCCCATGGGACCCACTCTTGAGCCCTGCTCTGGTTGACTACTCAGTGGTGGCATTGTTCCAGCGTTATTTCACAAATCTACCACTTTCCTGAAAACGCAGCCCAGGCTTGTTTCTAGTTAGACAGGCCTGGTGGGATTGCGTGAGTACAGGTGCTGGCATTCAGTGGTGAGGATACTGGTGCCATCCTGAGGTGAGTGGGCTGATCAGAGGCTCCTCTTTCGACCCTTTCAACCTTGTTCAAGTGCGGGTGAAGGATGCTGGGAACTGTTTCTCTCCAGCCTCTGAGGGCAGGTCCAGGGCAGGATGGATGCCCTGTGCTCCAGGCCTTGCAGCTAGGTCCTGTAGTAACTAGTGCCATTGATACAGACGCTGTGTTTACAGAGGCAAGACAGGGCCTTGTCCTGGTGCCTTCTCTGAGCTCCAGGCATAGGGGCAGGAGGAGTTCTCAATCTCTTGTTGGCTGACCCTGTTGGCTCTGCCCAATATGATCTGTGGGGGCCACAGTTCCTGAACCATCAAGAACAGGAAAGAACCTGTTTCCAGTGTAAATTCTTGGGCAAAGCTTGTCCTGCTCTTGCATAGACACACCATAGAAAGTCTCAGGCATGCCTGGCTGAGGGTGACAAAGGCCCAGTGAGGGGGTGTAGGGTAAGGAAAAATATCAGGCTTTTCTGCCCTCCCGCCATCAGGATAGATGAGGGAACCCTGTGATCCTGAATGCATGCCTGATGGCGGGCACCTGGAGTGGGTACACCTGGGCTAAGACTGTGCTTTTAAGGGTGGCGTCATGGGGACGCCAGGAGAAGCCGAAGCAGAAGCTGAAAGAGAAGCCGAGAAGTAGAAGCAGAGAACGCCAGAGAGCCCAGAGAGAGTGCGGATTTGCTGGGGGCTGGGAGGACTGCCAGCCTTCCGGCCCCCCAGCACCCCTGCCTGCCACGTACCCGCTGAACCCCAATAAAAACCTGCAAAACCACTGAGGACTCTGACTCCTCCTTTACCCGGTCTGCATGGGATCAGAAAACCTGCCCTGTGGTCCATTCCGGCCCCTACAGGGGGACTGAGGAGAGTAGATGAGTTGTCTTTTATTTTGGGGTCCCAAAGATGGAGGTCATGCTGGGCTGTGATCTGGGGTGTGGTGGAGCCGAAAGTACAGCTGTGTGTTGCACAAGCAGAGCGGTTCCCCTTGAGCCCCGGGTAGTGATGTTTGCATCAAGTCTTGATGGTGCTGATATTGCTGGACTTGGGTTTTTTTCCAGCCCTTGCCTAGTCAGCACTTGCAGATGACCTCTAGTGGCCGGCCCATGACCGCAATACTCATCCTGGACTGTCCATCCCAGGCAGCCCTGCTGAATGGGTGCTGGATCCTAGTGGGGTAGAACCAAGGAGGGGCTGAGGAGATAGGGGCTCGGTGGTCTATGTGGTCTCTGGCCTACTGGTGGGCATCACCATCTGAAACTTGAACCCCTCAATTGCTCAGTGGGTGGTGGTGGGGGTGGGGAGACTGCCCCATGCAGGGAGGGGCAACCAGGACCATCTCATCTGTCCTGGGACCTAGCATCCTGTATGGAGGGCTGGGCGGGCTGGGACAGCTTTTGCGTACACAGGTCTATTTAGTCCCCAGAAATAATAAGAGCAAGAGGAACCTTCAGCTCCTGTTTTTTTTTTTCCAACAATAAAGCTGTGAGGAAAGATGAATTGAATCCCATAAAGGTAGGTGGGGAAGGAGCCTGGTTGGGAGAATGGGGTGAGGGTGGGGGCTGGTAGCGAGGCGGATATGCCAGGCTGGGAAGGAAGACGGACACTGGCAGCTAGGCCAGTGTTCCATTGCCTGGTCCCCACCCATCCTGCCATCTCTTCCCGCCTCATCTCCCTACCCCCACCCCCCCAGCTTGTTCTGTCCTTCCTCTGCTCAGGTCAAGTGGGCCAAGGCCTGGAAAGGCAGATGGAATGCGAGGGGAGGGAGCCAGTTGAGTAAACCAGACCTAGAAAGCCACACCCAGGGTGTGAACTGGACAGGAATAAACTGGTGTCCTCAGACACATGGGGGGAACCTAAGCAAGGCTCTGTGATGGCTGGAGAGGCCTCACAGGACTTCCACTGGCACCAAGCTACTTCACACCTGGGGCTCTGCCCAGGGTGACCTTGGGCAACCCAGCTACCCTACTCTGTCATCCTTTTGTCTATATCTGATCTGTCTGTCATCCACCTATCATCTAGCAATCAGTCACCAATCAATTGATCGCTTCTTTGTTCAGCCACCTATCACCACCTCTGTCTTTACAGTGAAAAGGTTTAGCACACCACCCTCCCACCTTACTTAATTTCCCTCCCCCCCACCCCCACCCCACTTTACATGATGTCTTTCCCCTGCACTGATTGCTTCACATTCCTCTACCGGCTCACTGGGCCTAGGGGCTTGTGTATTAGAGGCTCTCAAAGAAAGACTCCCTCCTGTCATAGAGCATGGCCCTGAGAGCTCCGTGCATCTGGCCCACTTGCTTTCCCTGTGTGCCCCACAGTGGCATACCCTGCACTTGGCAAATGCTGCTTCTCACTCCTTACACCCTGAAGGTTGAGCTTCAGGTGCAAGAGCCACACACCCAGCAATACAAGGGAGAGTCAGCCTTAGAACAGACCCCTGAAGGTTGTGTGGGGTTGTGCCTCGTCCTGACTGATTCTCTAGCCTTGGTTGCTGACACACAGGCCCTAGCACACATGGGCAAGTGAGTAGTGGGCCTGCTAGAGATTTATGGAACACCTACTATATGCCAGACACAGTGCTAGGGATGCAGGCTACAGGTAGGGGAGCCAGGCTAGACAAAGTTTCCATAAGTAATTAGAGACGCAGGCATGAGAGGGGGGACTACCTCCTCCCTAGCTTAAGCAGAGCTTCTTGATAGACCAATGATACGCTTTCCTTCTTTGGAGTAGCCCTGGTCTTGGGGCCTGACAGGGTTCGGACATAGGCCCCATGGGGATGCTGTAAATGGTGATGCTAATCCATGGCACTGAATACAGAGTAAACTCAAATGCTCCATTGTGACAGTAACTGAAGGTGGTCAGAGGGGCTATGGGGAGAGCCTTGGGCTGGGCCTGAGCAGGC